AGAGCATGTGCTATTCTGGGCCATCGCTCAGGCCAAGGAACTGAGCTGGCTCTAGATGCCATTAAAATAATACCTGACGATCCACTGGTCTTGGCCAGGGAGCTACTCTGAAGCTTTCTCCACGTCTCACCATGCACTGGGGTTAGGAGGCATAGACATTTAAGATTCAGTTTGGTCTCTTAGAGAGGCACAGATCCTAGGTCCAACCAAGACAGGGTGAGAGCAAGGGGCAATCCAGGCCCAAGCTTTAGAAAGGACTCTAGCTCTGTGTGTGTGTGTGTGTGTGTGTGTGTGTGTGTGAGAGAGAGAGAGAGAGAGAGAGTGTGTGTCTGCCTGCCTGTGTGCTTTGCACCCCTTTCTTCTAGCAAGGGTAATTGAGAGGGAAACTATAATGGGAAAAAGAGACTAGTTCTGTTTTGTGAATGACTTCTGTTATCAAACAAGACCTATCCCCCTGTTGTGTATTATTCATTTTTTCTCCCCTGGCCTGTTTTAAAGAAAGGAAGTAGGCAGTGTGCCTGTGCCCCTGGAGTGCGAGCTGGGGCAGGCAGGAGATGTGGGGATGAGAATTCATACTCCAGAAGCTTTTCCCTCCAGGGCTGGCTCCGCCTTCAGAAGCAGCCTGTTCAAACAGCCAGCAGAGTTTGGGCTGTCTTTCTCTGTCATACTTTTCCTAGCAGACCATGGGGAGCCCACAAAGTCCTTTCCTCCCTTTGATGTGTTCAGAGAGGGCAGGGAACTTGATGGAGCGCTGGGATGAAAGGTACAGGGGAGTTCTGAGTTCTGAGATACGAAAGTTCAGAACCCAAATGACCTGCCAGGAAGCTGTTTTGGCCTGAACCTGGGGCCTCATGGGTCGGTGAATGGAACAATTAACAGAATGGGACAGAACAAAAACTTGGGCGAAAAGAGGGACAGGAGAGCCCCAGAGGCAAGATAGGAAAAAACGGTGCTAGTATCAGAGGAATGAATTGGTCCAGAATGTATTTCATTAACAAAACCCAAACAAACAAAAAAAAGGGCAAAGAGGATAAGAAAGGACTGTCATCCTTCCAGGTTCACCCTTCTCAAAAGCTCCAGCTTCAGGTGCCCCAACTATGGATTCCGCCCAAAGCAAGCTGAGCCAAGCTTGTCCTGCCAGTGCGTAGCCCTGGCAAGCGGGACCACAAGGGGCCAGAGGGCCGTGTTGGCGGGGGAAGCGTGGAAGGGGCCAGTGACAAGCTGAGTGCCGGGCTTGCATGGTCAGGGGTCTCGATGCGGCTGTGGCGGGTCCCTTCTCAAACTCCAACAGACCCCCCCAGTGACATCACCCACGAGTGGAGACACACTGAGGACAGCACAGGTACTGGTGGGCACAGGTTTTTATTCTCGGTGCACAGCAGTACTGGTTTCTGCTCATCAGCAACAAGCTTTATTGGTTCCAAAAAAAAAAAAAAAAGATTATCCCTTTTTATCCCGTCTTTTCAAACTCCTCTTCTTCCCGTCTCAGTGGACAACATATTTAAATTTCAGATTTGCCAGTTTACAGCATTTCCCCCCCACTAAGAACCATATAAATACATGCAAAACATTGTACAGAGAGCTTAAATAATAACCGAATGCAAACACCGTTAAGCCAAAGGCAGATCATGGCAACACACGCTGGGGTACACATTGCTTGGATGTCACTGTGTTTGCTTTATGTCATGCAGACCACAACCGTCAATCTTTTGTTTTCCTTTTTTGTACAAAAATACCAGTGCTTGTTATACTCGTTACTGGGGGATAAAAAGAAGAAGAAGAAACTCGAAATTCCTATCTGCGTGCTGATTTGAAAAGCACAACGTAGATAGATTTTGTTGGCACGTACGTCCGGCATATTCACATATGGCATATATACAGATGGGGAGCAAACACGAACCAAAGGCCAATTCGGTCACTGGGGGCTCCCTTCCCTCCGTCTCTCCTCATCAAGAGGAAAGGGGACAGCAGGCCTGACAGCAGGGCCGGGCAGGCGAGGCACTGGCACTGAGCTACATGGAAGGGCATCTGGTCTATTCTGAGGGAAAGGCTGGAATGGCTTCAGAATAGCAGGCGTTGACACGTGCCTCGTCCCCGCTGCTGCGGTGGGTGGTCCCTAGATGTGGGAAGTGAGGACGCGTGCACTTTGTGATGGTATCACGGGCTGCTGAGAGCGATCACCAGGCCAAGGAAGCAGGACAGGAAGGAGGTGAGGCATTTCGAGGCTGCATGCGGACTTGCCGCACCTTCCCGGGTTTTCGGCAGTGAGGTAATCGCGCAGATACCACTGTACAGACTCTCCCCTCTGAAGCTCGAGTGGAAGAATCCCAGACCCTACAGAACCCACGGGTGTCAGAAGGATCATGAGGTGGTCTCGCTGACACCTTTGGGGATGGGGAGTCATCATTTCAGAGGGCAGAGGGTACCTCTGGGAAGGACCTAGCCCCGAGATGGTCACCGCGGGTTAGAACCAGCCTTTGTGACTTCCACTTAGAACTCTCTCCCCCATCTCACAGATCGCACACAACCTTTCTAGGGGAGGGGAAGTCCCAAATCGGAGCCTTGCACAAAAACTCACTAATGGAAAACTCCTGGGGCAAAGAACCCATAAAACATGGGTGAAGGAACCCATGTTCCTGGGTGAATGCAAACACCCAATCAGAGCATCCTTGCAGCCCGAGAGATATTCACGCCTTGGGTACCACTCTGCCAGTTACTCACCAAAAGAAACACATCCGGGCAAGGCCCCTGACCCTGATCGCTGGTTACTAAAAAGCCTGGCACCCATCTTTATGGCAGTGGGGGTGGGGGGGATCATACACTCATTTCTCGCTGGCTGCTTTCCTTTCCATCCACAGTCCACTGCCCGCTTTCCTAGGTTTCTCTAGGAGAATTATCTCACCTTCTCCCCATCCGACCCTTTTCAGATCGAAAGCACCATATGGGCGGAAAGCTTTATTAACTTCGCCATATTTACTCACTGCCAGTTGGATCACTAAAACCGAATAGAAAAAAAACTTATATAAAAAACATATGCACATAAACACTTAAACTTACTCAATTCCATATCAACAAAATTTATATTAAAAAAGTCTAGAACCCAACACATTTTCCCCCCACTAAGTATAAAGATGGCTGTTTGGAGAAAGGAAGTATGGTGCGTTGGTTTTAAAACCAGTCGCAAATATACGAAGTCGCCTGTCATGTCAAATAGCTGGTTTTGTGCTCCTTCCACAGGGTAACACGACAGCACTTTACATCAAATCCTTTAAACAAAATACGTATGGCTGACTCGAAAATATCCATTTCTGAGCTAAAGAAAACTATATATTTTTGCATCATATTCTCTATTTTCTCTCCTACCATGGAAACTAGAAGACACACAAAAGCCATTGACTTTAAACAAGTAGACACAAGCCTTCAAGAGTAACCTGTCAGGCACCATGAGAGTCTTTTGGGAGCAGGAATGGTACGATAGCCTCCGAAGTTTGTTATTGGCTTGTTTTCAAAACTGATCTGAGGTAAGAAAAGACTTGACAGAACGAAATCTCCCAAAGTACTTAATAAATATGTGTATACCTAACACCTCCGGTGAGCTGTTTTACTCCCACATGAGGATTTAAGACAGAGAAAAGATTGCTGAAGCATGTGACCTTTACAAAACCCAAATCAAATCTGGCGGGTTGCGCAGTAATGGGGTTGGGCAGGGGGTATTGGTTCTTTGCTCTTCCTACCTCAGACAGCCCGGGTGGAAGGGGTGAGGGAAGAGGGATCCCAAAGAGAAGGCCGGAGAGCATGGGTTCAGGCCGCCTTACTCTCACAAGTGGAAATTTGGCAGTTCACAAGAGCCTCAAGCCCCATCCCCCCACTCCCATCATTTCTTTCATGGGAATTGGTAGACATGAGTTCACAGACCCCTGCACAGAAGAGCTAACGTCAACATCAGCAGGGATAAAAATGGAGCTCCCGCAAACGTGGTTCCACCTTGTCCCATTAAGGAACATTTTAAAAAGTCTCCTAGTGAGGTCCCCAGCTCCGGAGAGGCAGGTGGGAAGGGGATGCTTTGGGCAGTGTTCAGGGAAAGAAGGCACAGGGCTTAATTGTGTAGCAGTCGAGCACATTCTAGAGAGGGCCTTGAGTGGGGCATGTGGGAAAAAGGAAGAGAGGAAGGAGAACTTTTCAGGGTGGGTCTTTTGCTCTTTAAGTCAGCAAAATGTCACTGGAGCCCACTTGGGATGCATATTTTTAAAAGCAGAACATGTAAGAAAGGCTGGGGCCTGTTGAGAGACTGGATGGGTTAGAGGCCACGACAGAGCAGAATGACAAAGCTGAGGGGTGTGTCAAAGCTGGTACTTGGGCACCTAAGCTCAAGGTGTCTGGTTTCTCAGAGGAAGGTTTCTCAGAACCTGCTAGTATGGCCCTCTGGCCTCTCCCAAGGCTTCTCAGTACTCAGTCCCCTAACAAGCAGGTCCTGTCCTAGAAGAGCCTTGACAGAAGGCTTTGAAAGTAGTAGTGGTCAACCCAGGGAGGATGGCAGAAGAGTTGGCTTTGATGGTCTGTGTTGTCCTGGACCTGCCTGCTGCTGGTCCTCAGGATCCCAGGCTAGTATGGAGGCAGGGCCTTTCTCAATCCATTCTTTTGCCACCACTTTAAGAATAGGAGGAAGCTCGGGCTTACAGTCAAAACTATATAATGAGCCTATGCAAGCTTCATGGTCAAGGCTCATCTCCCTAGCACTTAGGAAGGACACACACCTGACAAGACGGCAGTTCGGAAGTGGAAGGTAACCTGACAACCACAGAAACACATTCTTACCAGCTCTCAATTGCTTCAAGGGGATCCCATTAGCAAAGCAACCTCCCTGCCTCTAGGACTAAGCCAAGGATTCCACTGGGGCCCGAAGGGAGAATAGCCAAAGATGACCCAATTCAGCCATGTCCACTCCACTTTCCTAATCATCACAACTTAAAAAGAAAAAAAAGAAAAAAAGTAAAAAAAAAAAAAAAAAAAAAAAAAAAAGAAAGAGTGAAGGTAGGGCACACAGTGGTCACAAAAGACCAAAAGAACCTTAGGCAGGTTTGACTAGAAAGGCAGAAAGAGCTAGAGGGCTTTAGGGGCAAGTTTTGAAAATGGGAAAGTCATTTTAAAAACACTTGCTCTATAGGCTGATTCTATACATTCCATTCCTGCCTCTACACATTTCATTTGGGAATGTTTGTCTCTTGGAACCCTCGACTTAGCTTATAAATGGCACAGACTCGTAGGGTAAAATCCCAAAGTCAGGAGATGGTGACACACATATGCATACTGGGGAGAGTCTGGGTTGGGGGAGACACCGAGAGAACTGTCATCATTTTTTTAAAAATGACAGCGGACACACCCAGGGAGTAGACCCTACTCTTCGCTACATGCCTGGGGTTTGACTGGGTCCTGCTACAAACCCCAACTCAAGTTGAAGTTGAAATCCTCAGAGGTCTGTGCTCCGGCCTCTTCATGGTCAGGTGGGGGTTCACACATACTTGGGAACAGCTGACATGACAGTGAAAAGTCCCATCGTCACCTCACAGATGGGACAGATGAAAAAGGACACGGGTAAAGCGGGGATGGGAGCCAGAGGACGAAGTTCAAACGGACGTCTCCAGGCTGTGCTGAGGGCCGTCCGAGTGGGAGGCGACAATTTGCACTTGACTGCTGTCCACTGCGTTGTTGTTTTTGTTGGCGTATGGCGTGACCTCACCGTCCAACAGGAGCGCCCTAGTCCCGGACGTAGGATTGTCAAGATTTTCCTCCTCATGCTCATCCAGGAGCGGTGTTCGTGGCACTTCCTCATCTATGGCGAATTCAGGGTGGGTCATGAAGTTGTGGATGGAGTTTTGGTTCTTGGGTTTCTGAATGCTTTCGTGGAGGGAACTATGGAACGCTTTGACCACTTTGATCTATACGGGGGTTGGGGGGGAAGGAAAAGGGGGATGAGAAAACACGAAGGTGAGAATTGGCTAGGACAACAAGGAACTGGTGGCTTGAGGAGAGAAACAAAACCCCAACTACAAAACACTACGGCTCAGCAACCAAAAACCAAACACATGAGAAGAGATTAGGGAACACGAGGAACGTCAACTTTCAAGCATGGGTGTGGCGTAGGGTGAGTAATGGCAAACAGCTGAATATTTCAAAGCTGCATTTAAAAAAAAAAAAAGGAAAAGAAAATGTAGAAAACCCAAAGCAAAGTTAGCATTCCCAAACAATCCATTCTTCAAACGAAACAGAAAACAAGGATTCATTAGTTCTTTTGGATGAGGGCAAGGACGTGGAACCAGGTGCAAATTAACAGCCGAACTTAAAAGATGATTCAGACACGTGGCTTTCTGTGTCGAGGCCAAACATTTCGTGAACGTGGGATGGAAAAACTGCACACGAGTTATCTCTTTAAAACCCTTAGCGAGTCAAACGCATACCGGTCCATACATAAGACGCTTCAGGCGATAAGTGGCTATGGATACCGTGCAGCGAGGCAGACAAAACACTCATCATTTGTGCCAGCAGCATGCAAAAAATTATAGTCTCTGGTTTAACCATTGCTCTTTCGGTCAGGAAACATGCATATATTTCCATCCCACAACCTCTGCCATGTCCCCTTCCCCCCAAGAGAGCAGAACTCTGCCCCTCCCAGCCCTCCCCTGGCAGATGCGGCTAAACCACGGGTACGAGAAGATGCCTTCCTCCTGACTGCGGAGAGAAGAGCTGGCTGTCACGGTTCAAGTGCACGTCCATGCCTCTGGGGCACTGCACGTGTGCCTGGCCTGCAGCTTTCTGAAGCTGTTGCTACATCGGGAAGGGGAGCATGACCTTACGTGGAGCAGGGAAGGGACGGGACCAGGAGAGAAACCACCCGGTCGGAGGCTGTGCTACAGCTTTTCTGAGGAGGTGGATGGAGAATGGAGGAATGGAAATACCACGTGGCTTCAGTGGGCAGAGGGAAACGCACGGCCCTGTACGAGTCGAAGTCTCTTCTTACCGCACAAAAAAAGGGAAGGGATTCAGTCAATTGGGGGAAAAGGAAAAAAATTAAGAGCAACTGATTGCCGTGGCCAGCCTTTGCCTCCTCCACGGGCACCAGCTCCTTTGGCACCCTGCTTTTCTGAATGGTAGGCCTCTCTGAAGTCTGGTTTAGAACCTGGGTTGGCAGAACGGGTCGGGGCCGTAGGCTGGATGCCGAGATGTTGGAGAGAGAGGCCAGGGGGGAAGGAAGGTGGCTGGAGGACAGTGTTAGTCATGGGGAGGTGGCTGATCTAGTCTTGTCCAAAAATTCTTCCCTCAGGAAAGAAATGAGGCTGATGCAGGAGAGACGGCTGTGGTAGGAGGGGGCAAAGGGGGGAATGCTGAATGTTGGCCTGGGGCCCCTCTTCCGTGCCTCTGCTGTTTTAGCAAAGAATATGTCCCTGGAGAAGAGGCAAGAATGTGCAGACAGTAGAGGCAGAGAGAGTCAGGCAATGCTTTCTATCACTGGATAGAGTCTCCAAAACCAATACCCAAAGAGGACTTAATGAAGTCGTGTCTTTGCTGGCTGAGGCTTTCCTTATCTCGCCTCACTCCACGACAGCCTGGCAGACCCACCCAGGATGAACTGCCCAGAGCTTAGAAGGCAAGGGATTGGGGGACCTTTGGCGCAGGTCATGATCTCAGGGTCCTGGGATCGAGCCCCTCATCGGGCTCTCTGCTCAGCAGGGAGCCTGCTTCTCTTCCTCTCTCTCTGCCTGCCTCCCTACCTACTTGTGATCTCTGTCTGTCAAATAAATAAATAAAATCTTTAAAAAGAAGGCAAGGGACTCTCTGGCACTCAGTAGAATTGGCTCCATGCTTCAGCCATGAGGAAGCAAGGGACCTGGGCGCACATGTGCCCTGTGGAACAGAAAGTAAGGACCTATGTTTCCATCCTTCTGTGATTGCTGTCGACCATCTGATGGGTGAGTTTTACCTGTCATGTTCTCTTTGCTCCAGACCTGGGTGAGATCAGATGGAGCAGAGGCTCCGTCTGGTCTTCCGGAGGCGCGAAGCTTTCACCAATATCCGTCAAATCTGAGAGCAAGGCACCTTGGATGAAGTCAGCCCAAACCCAGTGCTTTCTCCCTGGTTAATAGGTGGGTTCAAAGTCATACCAGCCCCTGTAGGAGGGATGACAGAGCCCACACTTTGGACCCGCTCCTGCAATTTCCGAGTTTTTAACAAGTGCTGGAGAAGAAAAGGTACCTTTATCCCACCAGCTGGTTATCTTCAATATCAGTGATTTTCAAACTTCTTGCTTCTATTTTTTTTTTTTTTTGAAGCAACTGAGTACTTAATGAAAATAATTGTATGTGAAGTCCAGTAGAGAAAACAGATTCTTAAAAATTGGGGTTAGGGTCAGGGTCTGGAGCCCTGTTTTCTGGCTTTTCCTCTCACCTGTTGGGGTGATCAATAACACTGTTACAGGCAAACAATAAGGGAGATGAAAGTGAATAGGAATGGGTGGATGGAAAAAATAGGGAAAATGTCTTCTTTGGGGGGCAAGGAACAGTCATCTGGCTAGACTGCAGGGCTTCTAGAATCTAAAGGGAAAGCAGCATCCTGCAAGGGAAGGTCAAAGGAAGAGGAGTCAGGGAGCTGGCGGCCCATCTAGTGGCCTGGTGGTGGAGAGAAGGGTGAGGGGTGGAAGGCTCGGGGCTGTCACAATGCTGCTCACCTCCAACACGGCCTCAGAGAACACGTAACACATGCTGATGATCACACAGGTACATGCCCATCGATCCACCCCAAGCAAAGGGGGCAACCTGCTTCCCTAAGGCCTGGTGCGTGAATGGGATATGGGGAACAGGACATGGCTAGCAGGTGCTGGGAAAGCTGTAGGCACTCTCCACTCAGCCAGCCAGCCTTTCCTTCCCCAGTTATTGTCCCTCCAAACCTCCGGGAAGTGGCTCTTCTGGGGCCCCTGCCTACAGGAAGAAGTGGCTAAGTGAAGGGCAAGTCTTTCTCCGGTCTCAGGAGTCCCAGTGAGGTCGGACTTTCAATCAGGCATGAAGGTTAGAAGCACTCCCTGGAGCCCAGTGAATGGGCAGATGAAGACTCCCTTTCTCCAGCTAGATTCTAGAGTCTTCTGTTCTCTTTTCGGAAACCAGGGGAAGAGAAGGGATTAGAGATTTCCTAGAGAGGGAAATCTTCAAGATTTATTTATTGAAGTTTAGACAAATAACTGAATTCACTTGGGAGATCTGGAATGGGGGCTGGGGTCCTGAAATGCGTGACTGTTTCTTCTAGGATGTCTAGGTAAGGAGGAGGAGCTGGAGAGAGAGCAGGTGTGGCTGTTGTCCTCTGACCGAATTTCTGCCTTTGAGGGTCAGTGGCTTACCCTCTACTGGCAATTCCATAAGAGCCCAATGGGCTCTGTCTTCTGCTTAGTGTCTTTCCACCTTCAAATTGCTGGGACGGCTGACACTAGCCCTTCTTCACAGAAAGGCATGATTAAAAAAGAACAGGCACTAGTTAGAAGGACAGGGAAAAGCTAAAAGAAAAAGAGAAGTAAGAGAGGCATACGGAAGAACTAGAGGGAGAAGCTCTTAGATATTTGCAGGGTAAGACTTACTCAGTTCTTTGACCGCTTTTGGGCCTAAAGAAATATGTGTTTATAGAAAACCCATCCCTCATACCTCACACCAGAACACTTTTACATTTGGCCACAAAGACAACAAATAACTGGTCTCTGGTCAGCCTGTTTAGCTCCCAATCACGTGAACCACGGACAATGCACCTGTTCTTTCTTTAGTGCACCCCCCTTCAGGGGTTTTGGGGGCTTTGGGGGGGGAATAGGTTGAAAGTGGGGGAAGAGATAAATAAAATCGTCAAATATCTGAAGCTCACAATAGACTTAATACACAGAGACTTCTTCCCCACCAAATACCATAATAGCACTATCAGCAAAGAGCCTTCTCTCCTCTCCGTGTCCCATTTGGGGAAGGTAAAATGACCCGGAATAGGAAGGCATGCAAGAATCCCACCATCTACTGACGGGAACTCCAGATCTTAGGTCAAACACTGACAGCATTCCAGCAGATAGGCTGGCTGAGAAAGGGGCTCCTGAAACTTTAAGAGCAAAATAAGGCGTGAAGGGCTGGCTATGGGTGAGACAATCGAACTAGAGGAAAAGGGGAGGCAAAAAAACCCAAACCAAAATAAAAGTTGCTCTTCAGAAATTCCTAAAAAGAAAAAAGCTGGAGTGAGGAAAAGTAAGTTATTTGGACCTTTGCGGATACATTTGTCCTGCGCAGATGTGAACACATTGATTCTTAAGCCAGAGCTTGGTTTGACGTCCCTGAAAAGTGAAACCTCGGGGACACCCAGCCCTGTGCATGTGAACTGAACACCTTCTCTTCCTCACACTCAGCTACAGCTTCTACGCCAATACTGTCAGCTCACAACAGAGCGGTAGCCCGGAAGGACTGTTATTATCGACCAAGTTCAATGTTGGCTCAGTGATGAGGGATCTCCTGGTAGAAGAACCCATGGGAAGGATAGTTCTTTTCGTACTCTCTTTCAGGAGGTCTGACACTTGCCCCCTTCCCCGCCCCATGAAGAGAGGGCAGGGCTTTCCCTGGCCTAACCCCACCTCTAACCTCAGGAGATCAAGTTCAGACTCAAAGGAGCAGGAGGAGAGGAGAGGAACACCAACATACCCAAACAAAGCAAAACCAACCAATAAACCAACCACTCAAAGTAAAGCCAAACAAACAAACAAACAAAACTCAAGGAAGAAACAAGCAATGCAGAGGAACGTTCAGAAAACAGGATTATTGTCTTTGAAATGGTTATGGTTTAATAGTTTCTCAACATAATAAAATAAAATATAAGGGCACACAGCCTGGTTTGGGAGTGGGATTTCAGTCCCATCTTTCTTCTCTTAAGTCAGAGATCAAAGGGAAAAACCAAAAAGAAAAGATAACCACGGTTGGTTAAAGTGGATGCCACGTGCTCTCTTGTGGTCATTTTAGCAAATCATGCATCATAATAGACTCTCACTCACTGCCCAGAGTAGGAGATGAGACAGCAGCAGGAACAGAAGTGGTGGGGGGAGATGTGACTGGCGCCACTGTTACATAGGATGAGCTAGGAACATGTCTAACGTCAAGGTGCTGCCCCATGTTCTGTCGCTTTAGGACTCCCTTAAAAGAGGCTCCCGTCTGGAATGTGTTAATTACGTCGATCTGCAAAGAATCAGAGAGTGAGACAGCTTTGCTCCACAGTCCAGAGAGAGGAGGAAAGGGGGAGGGTGGGGGGGTGGGGGGTGGTCCTGGAGGATTAGGGAAGGGGTGTGGAAAGTGCTGGGAAAAGGGGACAGGAGCAGGAGCAGGAGCAAGAGAGAAGTTTCCTTCGTACACAAAGCAATGGTGAGGAGAAGGGTGGGGAGGCGGGGGAACCATTAATCGCGCCACACATTTCATTTAAGGAACAGTTTGCCATGGAGGCCAAATACCCAGCCAGAATCCGGTCTTCTCTTCCCTTGCAGCCTACAAAGGATGTTTTAAGCGTGCAGGGGTCCAGAAGTATCTACAGTTTAAAGGGACTTCTCACCCCGTGACTCCTAACAGAGAGTGACAGCTTATTCATTGTGTTGACCTGTACTCTTAAAAAACAAGGCATGCCATTTAAGATAGAAGGGAAAGTATATATATCAACTGAATTTTGAGCCTCAGGAACCTCTGAACCAATTAAGTTGACTACTGATTTTTGAAGATTTTGCAGGAAAGTAACTCCTGAGTTCAAAGAAAAAAAGTGAGGCATGTCGTAGAACACATCCAGGTGGTCGGGGCAGAAAGGCACTTAGACCACGACTGCTGGGCTCACCTGCTTCTGGGTGTTTGCTCTGAGAGCCCCCTCTCCTTGGGCTGAAATGGACAGGGCCCGAGAAGGGAGCTCAGGAACCCAGCAGCCAGGCTCTTTAGCAAGAGTGCCGCCAGCACCGGGGGTCCTAAAATGTCTGGCAATGTCTGAGAGTAACTCAGTAGCTAGACTGAGGGCGGGGGAGCAAGACATGCTGGCTGGCGTGATCAGTGACAACAGTCTAGCAAGTGGTCTCTAGTTTTCTGTGTCCTACTTCTCGGACACAGGTGATTATGTGCCATTTGATTACCGATGATGGTCTTGGTTTGGGGCCTGGGACAAAACTACTGTCCTGGTCCCTGACCACTAGGTGACAAGGAACAAATCAAAAGGAATTCCTTCATCCTTTAGGATCTGGTAGAATCGTCATAAAACTGCCCACAGACTTAAGACCAAGGGCTGATTCCATTCACCAGAATGGCTTCAGTTCCCCAGGTGAGAAGGGGACGAAGCAGGTGCCTTATGAGGCAGACAGCTGTTCTTATTTATAAAGCTTCCTGAGAAGCCACGAAATGTTAAGGGTTGGTTTCCGGATTCAGACCAAAGTCTGAGCTAGACTACCATCCCTTCATGGCGTTACATAGTTTTTAGTTCTGGGGGATGGAGGAGCCTGATCCTGTGGGAGGGAAAAGGCTGCACATGGGGAGGGGACCGGTACGGGTCCCCCCACCTCCACAGGGGACATGGATCCCAGGGTTACCTTCCCAAAGCTTCTGCTCCCCAGTGCTTCTGGGTTTCCCTAAACTAAAGGGACCAGAAGGGGACCATTGCTGGGCCGCCCCCGCCATCGCCCAGGTGTTTCAGTGAGAGTGACAGCCAAGGATCAATACCCCGACGATAGGGGGCTCTGTCGGAATCCCACTGAGGCTGACAAACCGCTGCCAGGAGCGAGCTCCAGGGGTCTGGGCTCACTGGCTTACGGGGCCAGGTGTGCGCCGCCAGGGCAGGGGCTGGGTGCCCGTGGCATCTTCGAGGGCTGCGTTTGCTTCCTAGGTGTAGGCCTGAATGCCACTCTCGCCTAGCCGCCCCAGGTCCCGCAAGGAAAGGCAGTCTGCCCAACGCCGTAAGGCCATGCATCTGAACCCAGGGTACACAGTCAAAGGAGTGGGAACTGGGAGTGGAGGGGAAGGAAGATCCGTGAACCTCAGCCCCCCCAGGACAGAAGACTGGTGAGGGGCCAAGGAGATGCTGGAACGAGGGAATCCTGGCTAGGAAAAAAAAAAAAAATCACATAGGAGGAGAGGAGGCAGGGACCCTGAAGAGAAGAAAAGCAGACAGGTTATTATGAAAGGAGCAGACCTGAAGGAAAGCACCAGGGCTTCGGAGACAGGAGCCAGTGGCCTAGAGGGTGGGGCAGTGTCTGCAGGTCCCGGGGACTTACCCCTCTTGGGGGAAGGAACCCGGGAGAGGGGAAAGGAGTCCCAGTGGTTCCCTAACTAGCCCTGCCCTCGCACCTCCATCATGGTCTTGCCTGTGGGAGACAAGTTCCCAGTGGGTATGCAGTGGTGAGGTTTCATTTGATCTCTCCTCCCTATGACTGAAGGAGGTGGGCTTGACTAGGGAACTTTCTACGCCCTCGGCAAGGCTGATTTTAGAGATTGGAACTTGTTTCCGGGATCTCCAGCCAATCAGCAGAGAGGAACAGGCCTGCTCTCTGGAGACGGAAATCTCGACTAATACAATAGAGGCATATAGGGCAAGAACAGGGAAAGTGATAGAATGACCAGGGCCTAGACCAGCTGCCCACCTAGGAGCAGGTGGTTACAGTTGCTGCATGGAAAATGGGAAGAAAAACGTTACTGCGAGGCTCCACGGGCAAGGGGGCCCAAGGCAGCATCTGTGCCAGTTCAGAATTTTCGAGAAGGGAAAGGTTTGAGGAAATTATAGCTTCTTCCTTTTGGGGAAGCAAATCTGAATCCTGCAAAAGATACTCAGGCACTGAGAGACTTTTGTCATTTATATACACTGAGCCGTCAGATTCCCCACCAAGGCCTTAAAGTATGAGTGGGGAAGATACGAGAGGGTGAGTTTCTTTGGCAAAGATCCTTCCAGATAACAGCTACGTTACCCTCGCAGCAGCTGGAGGACTTACACGAAGCATACGCTGGCAATGCTGGTTTAGAGATGCTGCCTAGCTCCTTTCTCCTGAAGGGCGGGGAAGGATGCCGAGCATCTCCCACCCCGAGGTCAGAGGTCAGGTCTGGTGCTTGCAAGAGACCGTACACAGGGAGCTTGCTGGCCCCATGGAGGGTGGCAAAATGGGCTTTAGAACCAAACAGAAGCTGAAGGAAGAGGCTACCAGTTTGTGTTCAGGGCTCTGAGACCTCTGACTACTCTCCTCTCAGAGGCGCCCAGGCAGCTGGTCCCTGGAGCTAGGGGAGCTCGGGCTGCCCACCAGCGGTGAGCCTTAGGGAGGGAAGAGATGTGAGCCACCAGGAACGGCTCCCCCATCCCCACACCTCCCCACACGGAGGGATGTCTTCTCCCCGGCGAGGACAGGCCACTGTCAGAGTACCTGAGTCTGGATACGGTTCAGGCCCCGGAACCAGAGGATCTGGCCTCGGCGCAGCTCCATCTCCGCGTGGTCAATCTCGTCCAGCCCCTCTGCGTCCTTGGTGATCTCCTCTTTGGTGGTGCCGTGCCCAGCCTCCTTCAGGAACTTCAAGGATTGGGTAGGTATCGTGGAGATGATCTGAGAACAAGTGCAGTGGAGGGGAGATACCAGAATCCAGGTGAGAGGGCGGTCATGCAGCTCACATGGTCAGGCCCTTGCGTAGGTCACTCTTTGCCCCATCAAGCACCGGGGAGGTGGTGGGGTGGAAGGGCAGTGGGAGAGGTGTCAACCCGGCCAGGCAAGCACTCCTCAGGGCCTCCCAATGGCAGGCCCTCAGGAAGGTTTTCTGTATTTGTGGACACATGAAGGAGAACTTACATTCGCGTGTAAGTTTGCCAGCCATCTGCCTGGGTTAGTTATATACTTGGTTCTCCTTCCGTCTCAGTTGCTCCTTTCCATTTTGCCAGGAAAGGGAAGGAACTATAATGCATGGCACATGGTAGGAAGGGACAGAGACCAGGGCCCGAGGGAAGACAAGGCTAGGGATAGGAGAGGGTGGTCACGTTGCTTGTGTATGGACAAGGGGAAGAGAAGTCTTGGAAGGGAAGGATCCTCTTCTAGTTAGCGCATGCAGAGTAAATCCCTGTGTTGTAAAACGAGGGTGAAAAAGCAAAACAAAACAAAAAAACCCACCCAGAAAAACGAGGGTAAAAGGATACTAGAGGTTTTCTTGGGCTTGGGGTGAGACAGACCAGGGAAGAAGGGACATTCGGGTATCATCAGACATGGGGCAGTAGTCTGGGCTCAGGAAGCGTCAATCAGCTCTCCCTGACACACAGACGAGGAATAGACAGGACTGGGACAAGAGAAGAGCTGTAGGAGTGGCCCAGCATGGAGTCAAGGATTCTGACAGGGGAAGAATGTCTGCTCTTGGCTGACTGGAAGGTGCTGCTGGGACACAGGAGCCGTGCTGGTACCCGGCATCAAGGCCGCATGGCCACGTGTGAGACTAGACCCCGATGGGAGTTCCAGACCGTCGGGTGAAACAACCAAGCTTCACTTAGGTGTAAAAGGGTCCCACTGGTAAAGTAACGCCACCGAATGGGACAGGGAGGCGGGGCTCATGGTAGGAATCAGGACAGCAATTCATCAGGGAGGTATCTGGGACACAGGAAAGAAACAACCAGCAGGTCTATGGGGAAGTGGTCCCAGGGAAGGATCGCGGGGGCCACTTAGAGCAAAGCTGTCACCCAGGTGGCTTGGAGCCTGTCGGTAGAGACTGGATGTCTGCAAAGCAGAGCTTCTCCTGGCTCAGAGCTGGGGATAAGAGGGTGTGCAAAGTGGTATCTGGGAAGGAACAAAATTTGCCAGACCTGATCCTATAGCTAAATTTTACTGTGTCCTTAGATGGTACTAGAAATTGTTCTAAATCATTTCTGTGTCATAACAGATGGGCTGATTAGCAACGAGGAACAATGATCCTGTTCTCCTAAGCTGAGGAAACTGAGGCACAGAGTGGTTAAGACGCTTGGTCAAAGGGATTCAACTTGTGCAAAGGAGATGTGGGATTCAAAGCCGGGGAGCCGGTCCCAGCGTCCATGCTCTTAACTGGGTGCTATGCTGCTTCTCTAGAGCCCTCGTGGGTCTGGATTTATCTCAAGTGAGAGTCAGCCATTCAACCCAGTCAACCCGTTCAGGCCGTGGTGAACACGAGAGGCAGGGGAGCCCTAAACTAGGTCAGCCCAGCAGTTCACAGCCAGACTACGGCTTTACTAAAATAGACTTCCGCTCTGTAAATGTCTACTTCTAAGACCCTTAATTTTGTTTTTCTCTTTTTAGCAAAATTCCGTTGAATATTTCCACTCCCATCTCAGAGACGCTAAGGGATCTGCCTGCCACTAGGCATGCTTAGAGGAGATCCACAGCCTCCGAAGTGGGGGGCATTGACAGGATCCTGCAAGATGAAAAGACCTGGAAAACTGGGGGGAAGAAGCTCATGGCGAGGAGCTGGGAGGCACTGCCATCGCATGTCCCATCTCCTCCAGAGGAGAGAGTCTGCCGGCCGCGCACCTGTACTGGGCGAGCCGGCTGCCACTCACCTGGCCCCATAGCAGTTCTCCAATGCCAATGAACAGACACCAAAACCACTGAGACAGGGTGAGCTTCGTGCAGCTGAAGGGTTTACCCCCAAATTCCACAATGAGAATCTAGAACCGAGAAAGGCAGCCCACCATCAGGGAGGCGAGTCACGGGCAGCTAGCCCTCCAGCCGAGACCACCAACACGGCCTCAGTGCCCCGGCCCGTGATCCCTGTGGGCCAAGGCCCAATCTGCTCGTTGGAGGAGGAGAAAGAGGAAATCCAGAGCGGGGAAGAGAAGACAGACACAGTCTTTCTAGAGACTCTGCTGGGGAGACAGAGCTACTTACTATGAATATTATTAAGGTAAGACCTGGCAGATCCAGGGGGATGGAAGCTTCTGGTGACTATAGCTAGTGGGCGAGGTGCCAAGAGAAGGCACAGTGAGGGAGAGGAGGAATTGAAGAGGCAGGCCAATGAGGTGGACCCCGGCAGGGGATGGCAGGACCCCTTGGTGTGGGGCGAGCTCCTAGTCTTCTGTATCTGTAGGGCAAGGAGGAAGGGACCCGATCCTTCTACCACCGGGGCAGCTATGCCTTGACCCCGGTTCTACGAGAGGAACCCAGGCCAGCTTTATCTGTCCACTGCTTGTGCACCCTGCCACCCCTTCTGTCTGTGGACTGCACCGTGTCTTCTGCCAAGGGCCCCCCACAAATGCAGGGGCGGGGACAAGGAGGGAATCTGTATGGCATGTATCTGCCCATCTCATGTACGCTGGCAGGAGGGACAGAAAGGACCTCGGCGAGTGACTCTCTCCTTGGCCACTCTGGGAAAATTCTGTGCTTTAGAAAGACAAGGGAAGGATCCCACCCATCTCGTTTTATTTGCTACCAACGTGCTGCCTTGCACCGCGGCACCTGACCCAGCAGGCTCCAGTTCCAGAGCAATGTGCAGATGGGAGCCAACCAGGAATCCAAAAGCACTCGATCTGCAGCCTGAGTCCCCATCATTCCCTCCCTCCTTCTCCGGGTACCTAGGCAACCCCGCTCCCAGCTTCTGCCCTCTGCCATCCCAGCCGCCCTGCCCCGACTCCAGCTAAAGGCTCACCTGGCTGATGAAGGTGCCCAGGACCACGGAGCAGAAGATGAGGTTGCGGAAGATGCCCGCGAAGACGTTCCTCTCTCCGTGGATCTTGCGGGAATTGATCTCGTTGAAGAGCTGCATCAGCACGAAGGTGTTGAAAATAATGGTGTAGTGCTGGCTGGGTGGGGAGTGTAGGGGCGCCTTCCTCCCGCTGTCTATGTCAAAGAACCTCTCGCCTAGTGGGGACAAAGGAAGCGTTAGCGGGTTAAGCGCGGTCTCCGCGAGGGCCCAGTTTGAGCCCAAGCCGGGGTCCTAGGGCTGGTGTCCATTCTCTCAGGTCAGTATCTGAGCCACACTAGCTAGCAAACACTCTGAGTGTCAGCTCTGGTCTCAGCGTATCAGACTCTCTCTCCGCGTCCGCTACAGTGACTCTGACTGTTATGGTGCGGCGTTGGGGGTGGGGGCTGTGCAAGGGTCTGGCAGACACAGGTTTGATCTTAGTGCCGCTGTATATTCAACACGGGACCCGCGCTTCAGTTTTATAATCTTAAAAAAAAAAAAAAAAAAAAAAGCTACAGAAAGCCGCCCTGTGAAATTCTTAAGAGGAGTAGCTAAATAGCGGCACCTGACCCAGCAGGTTAAATAGCGCAGGGCAGCACAGAGCGGGGCAAGGGGACACACCCCGTGGGTGACACTGCTGTCACCCCTAGTCCTGTGCTCGACTTGCTCCCGTGCCACCTTCTCTCCGCAGGCCGTTCTCTGGCCCCGTCCCCGCTTAGCACCCCGACCCCCGTCCCCCGCGCCCACGCAGCTCACCGGCGAAGACGAGGAAGAAGATGACAGTGAGCTGGTAGACGGCGTGGCCCAGGATGTTCTTCATCATCGTGCGCGAGATCAGAGGCTTGTTGCGGCCGTAGGGGCGACGCTTCAGCAGAGACTCCGTAGGAGGCTCCGTGGCCAGGGCCAACGAAGCAAAAGTGTCCATGATTAGGTTAACCCACAACATCTGCACGGCTTTCAGTGGGGAATCCTGGTGGGAGGAAGCACCCGTCCTTTGAGCTTTCCCCGGAAACCAGCCCCGGGCTCACTCAGCAGCCTCAGCTTTGGCCTTGCAGTGGCCTCGCTCCCGCCATCCACCCGGACTTTGGATCCGGCCGTTCATTAGCTGAGTGACCTTGAGAGCACTACCTAACCTCTTTGCGCCTTGGGTTCCTCCCCTGTAAAATGGGGGGGATATCCCTTTGCAAGGTTGTTTCTGAAGACCACAGAGGTACTCATCACAGTGGCTGACATTAGGGGTGGATAAGTTCTCCTCCCTCCACGTGGGCAGAAGGAGACCTAGGAGAGCTAATTCCCGCCCCTACACCCCCTGGGGAACTCCTGTCCTTAATCCTCAGTAGCCAGGACCCCATCCCCCACGTTCCCTCGCCCCTGCCTCATCCCTCTCCTCCCGGCCCACCCTGCACTCCCTTCACCTGAGTGATACAGGCCCCGGTGAAGGCCACGATCACGGCTACCACGTTGACAGTGAGCTGGAACTGGAGAAACTTGGAGATGCTGTCATAGACATTTCGCCCCCACATCACTGCCTTGACAATGCTGGTGAAGTTGTCATCCGTTAGGATGATGTCTGATGCCTCCTTCGCCACGTCTGTGCCTGCAATGCCCTGAGTGAGAGAGGGAGGGAAAGCAGTGAGGACCTAGATACGCAGACTTTATCTCCGTTCTGAACCCGGACTGCCTTTCCAGACCCCCAAGAAGCTTCCGAATCGGCCATAAACACTAGAGGGCGCACGCGCCACGCTAATGCCAATGACCAAACCACCGTATTTTGAGTTCTCTCTTCCAGAGAAAATGTGTCACCCTCAGTCCACAGCAAGCAGGGCTGGGGCCTGATGCCACCGTCTTACTCCTGAACCCAAAGTGGAAATGACAGTTATCTTTGATATTCCTTTCTCCCTTCTTTGCTACTCCCCCACCTTAGAAATGAAGGAAAGGACAGGGAACCTACGTCCTAACCTACCTCCAAATCCCTACACTCTTCCTACACCCTTCCTTTCTTCCTTCTGTCTTCCTTTCCTTCTTCCTTCCTCCCTCCCGCCCTTCCATCTCCTTCCTCCCTCCCTCCTTCCTTCCTTTTCTCTCTTCCCTTCCCTCCCTTCCTTCCTCCCCCTCCCTCCCTCCCTTCCCTTCCCTTCCCTTCCTTCAAAGATTTTATTTTGAAGTAACCTCGACACCCAACATAGGGCTCAAATTCACAACCCCAAGATCAAGAGTCACATGCTCCACGGACTGAGCCAGCCAGGTGCCCCTAAATTCTTTTCTGCCCCTAAATTCTTATATTTCTTTTGCCGCTGCCAGTGTCTCACTTATGTCCTTGTCTTCTCCACACTTCAAAGTCACTTTACACTTTTTTTCTGGGGGTAGTAGTCTGGCAGCACAGTTCAGATGTCCTATCCTTGTTCAAATTCCTGTTCCTGGGGAACCACTAAAGGTTTCTCAATAGACAATGGTTGAAAGCTGTGCTTATAGAAACGGTACAATTTCTAGACTTGTAGTCAGAGCCCTCAACAGGTGAACTGGGATTCATTTTCCAGTCTGCTCCTATATCCTCTTTCTGCTCAAAACCCACTGATTATTCACAATTTCCTGATTCTCTCCTTCACTCTGGAGTCTAGACTTCTACTTACACCATTTCTCTAAACCTGGAACATCCTCCTTCCTCACCTATTTAAACCTCATCTATCTTTAAAGGTCTATGGGACACAAAACCATCCCTAAGGTCCCAGTCCCTACTTCTGTGCCGTGTCTTGCAAAGCCTAAAACCCACAGAGGAGCGTGTTCATTGATTTGGTTCGCAGTAGTACACCATTTGTTCTCTTTACCAGGTAGTAATATTTTCCTATCCAGATTGCAATAAACAAACATCTGTTACAGATTAAACAATTCAGTTTCCCCATCAAAAAGTCCTCTAATGCATCCCCACCATGTGTCACATGCCCTGAAAAAAGAAAGGAGGGGGAAAAAAAAAGAAAGGAGGACTATATATACTTTCTACCAAGGAATAATCTTCAGGTTATGTTAAATGAAAAAAAGCAATGTGAAAAAAAGAGAGTGTATGCTATGTGTGTAGAAAAATATACATATAGTACAGGTAAGTATCACCTATCGAAGAGGATAGGATGCAAATACATTATACATTTGATTATATTTTAAAGGAGCAAACAGAAGGATATACCAAAACAAAAGAAATGTTACTTAGAGTTAAGTGGGGAGGGAATAGGATGGAGGAGATAGGGGTAGAAGCTGGATTTCTGTTTTGTATATTTGACTTTAGAACGATAAAGCTACTTTATCTGAGTATAAATCAAGACTAAGATTAAAAAGCAATCTCTAGGGGCACCTGGGTGGCTTAGTGGGTTAAGTGTTTGACTCTTGATCTCAGCACAGTTCTTGACAGTCATGAGTTCGAGCCCCACATGGGGGCCCAATGTGGAGCCTACTTTAAAGAAAAAAAAAAAAGCAATCTCTAAAATGGAAAGCAACATGGTGTGAATGAACTGGTACAAACAGTGGAAAGCACAATCACACAAAGGAAAAATATTCCAAATGACTTTTAAAAAAACACAGTACCTTGATGGTAGAACCTAGCAGAGCATAACTATAGGATAAAAAGAATTACAAGAAAAATCTAGAACTGTTTTTTGTATTATTAGATAATAATAATATATAATAATACATAATACTAATATATAATAATAATAATAATACAAGAGCACTTGTATTATTATTGCTATTTTGAGACTGTTACCTATATTTTAGGGTAAAATAAGTAAGGATTATGTTAATGCCATTGGGAATCAAAATTTTCAGCTTAAGAGGTACAGATATAAAATCAGGGAAATTAAAGTAGCTAGAGTTCTATAATTCTAAATTTGAATTGAAAATACCAACATGGATTCATGAAGTGTTTTATCTTTAAAAAAAGAAATGCAAAAACAAAAAAGAGACATAAAAGATATATTTCCTAGCTTTGCCCATTGAAAAGATCTAGAAACAATGATTTCCTTGATAGTAAGAACACTCTGACATTCAGACTGTGTTCTCTAAGCACCATTTCTTACTAAAAAGCAGGACTTTGAGAAATGGATGATTCCAGATCTAGGATGAGAAATACATATAATGATTCTGGAACATGTTATCATGACAGAAACCAAGTAAGGTATTAAGGACAACTAGGTTGTATCTAAAGGACCCAGCAGGATTCATGAGGCTAATGATGGGTCAATGTGAACGTCAAAATAATAACAAAGGCAATGGATTGAAACACATCAAATGTACTTAAATCTGTGAGTTCATAACGATATTTTAAAAATGAGCTGTTTTTAGTAGAGTTCCTTAGTAGGGTTATTTTAAAAAATATAATTCATGGGTGCCTGGCTGGTTTACCCAGTAGAGTATGCAACTGTTGATCTTGGGGTTTTAAGTTCAAGCCCTGCGTTGGACATGGAGCCAACTTAATAAACAAATACAAGTTAGGGGCGCCTGGGTGGCTCAGTCAGTTAAGCGGCTGCTTCCGACTCAGGTCATGATCCCGGGGTCCTGGGATCGAGTCCCACATTGGGCTCCCTGCTCAGCAGGGAGCCTGCTTCTCCTTCTCCCTCTGCTCCTCCCTCCTGCTTGTGCTCTCTCTCTCTCATAAAGTAAATAAAATCATTTAAAAAATTTAAAAACACACATATATGTGTGTATATATATATAGATCTATCTATCTATCTATCTATATATATATATAAAACTTATTGGTCATCTTTGGGAGTATCCTAAAAAGTCGACTCATTTTGAAAACTAGTAAATAAAGAAAAAGGATCAGGTATTTAGCTGCCTTTCATGTAGGAACCTGAACCTCAACCTCAGAGTTACCAAATAATCCTGGAGGGCAGGTTTCTTTCTGCAGAAGTCTTCAAGCTAATAGAGAAAATCTGGACGTAATATTGCAGCCCCTAATGAAAGATGGGATCTAGAATCTGACTGCATATGATAAGAATACAGTCAACAAAATCCATGTTATGCATTATTCTATGTAGACAACCAGCCTGGTTCCTTCAAAACTAAATAGCTAGTACAAAAGACGGAGGGGGTTGGGCAGGAGAGCTAACATTGCATCCTGTTATCTTTAGAAAGGGCTATTTGTGAGGCTGGCCCTCAGCTGGCATCTGGACCTTGGCTCTCAGAACGCCGCAGTCAACCATCAACTGAATATTAGTTGGTGGTTCATTGTGCCTAGATCGTGCCCAAATAGTATGTTTTCTCTTGAACACCTCCTTTCCTTCTAGAAGTCTGGAATCTCTCTTAAAAAAAAAAAAACTAACTAACTAAAAAACATTTAATTATTTATTTGAGAGAGAGAGGGAGTGGGAGCATGCGCGAATGGGGGGAGAGGAGAGGGAGAGAGAGAACTCAGGCAGACTCCCTGAGTTGGGCTCCTCGAGACCAATGCGGAGCTCGATCTCACGATCCTGAGATCATGACCTGCGCCCAAACCAAGAGTTGGTTGCTCAACGGACGGAGCCCCCCACTAGGCACACCTAGGAGTCCGGATCTTAGCTCATATTAGGCAGAAAGTGACTATATGACCAAGCCCAACAAAAACCTTGGGCGCTTCATCTCTGATGAGCTTCCCTGGGTAGAAACATCGCACATATGCTGTCAGGGGGGGAGAGCGTGCTCTGTGTGAGCCCTCATGGCGGGAGAGAACAGAAAGCCTACATGCGGGTTTCTCCAGACTCTGCCTGCGACTTTCTGCCTTATTACACCCATGCAATAAAAAAATCTTAGCCATGAGGACAGCTCTGTGCTGAGTCTCATAAGTCCTTTCAGTGAATCCACAAATGTAAAGCTGCTCTTGGGGACCCCTGACACAAGGATCCTACAGGACCTGTGGTTCGCAACCTTTAGGGTGTGGCAGAAATGTCCGGGGCTTGTGAAAGCGCAGATTGCTGGGCTCCAGCTCTGAGCTGTCAGATGCAGGAGAGCTGGGGCGGGCCTGAGAATCTGCATTTCTATAGGTTTCCAGATCCAGCTGGGAGGAGGAGCAAGCTTCCAAAACGACTGCTATAGATTAAGAGCTCTAGGAGAGACAGTCAATGATTGCAGTGCATGGATCTTATTTAGATCTGATTTGGACAAAGAAAGATAAAGACAGAATTTGTGAAGCACTTGGGGCAATGGGGGAATGGACCAGATGATTAATGACAATAAGGGCTCGGATTATTGTGAGATAAAAGTGGTATGATTCTTCTAGATGTATGCCCTCGATGTACACTTATCAGAGGCGTATACTAACGTTCTTCCAAATGAAATGACAGGGCGTCCCTTATTTGCTTCAGAACAGTTTAGCTGCAGATGGGAGAAGTGGTGGGGGGAAACGTTCAGTGAAACAAGATGGGCCAGGTGTCGATAATTAATGTTGAGTGACAGGTACACGGGGATTCATGAAACTGTTCTCTCTACTTCTGTGTCTTCTTGAAATTTCCGAGAAACAATGTTCTTGTGGGTGTTAAAGGGAACACCATAAACACAGATTACTTCTTGAATCTCTTTCCGCTGCTTAAAAATCACCAATAGTTCAATACACATGAGAGGCTTGTAATCACAAGCCGCTTGAGTGGGAAGATGTCCCTGGCCATCTGGGGTTCCCATGTTTGCTACAACATCAGAATCAACAAGCGTGCCTGTTAGGAAACGCCAAACATCTCTGGGCCTATCCACTGAATCAAGATATTCACCCGCGGAACCTTGGGATACAGGATTTTAAATGAACTTTCCAGGTGATTCTGATGCTCCTGGCCTCACAAGTGAGAAGCAGAGTGATAACTGTGTCGGCCATGGAATACGTGCTTCACAGGGAACCCGAATTTTCTATGGTGCGCCTAGACAGACAACATCACCACGTTCGTGGTAATGAGGCGTCAGGGTTTCCCTGCCTGGGTCATCTAGTCTTCATACTTGATGGGTCTCCCATCACACAGACTTTTACCGGCCAGGTCAGTAGGAGAGACAGTGTCGGAGCAAAGAGCCCAAGGCGGGGGTGAAGGTTCAGGAAGGGGCAGGCTGCCGGGAGGCCCGTCCTGGCTCCCGGTGGAGAAGGCCGCTCGCAGGCAGAGACGGCGTGCCCAGCTGCTTACCATGGCAAAACCAACGTCTGCTTTCTTCAGAGCCGGCCCATCATTTGTGCCATCACCCGTGACAGCCACCACCTGTCGCTGCTCCCCAACAGTGCTGTCGATGATGCCTGGGAAAACAGACACACCCCGTGAGTCCACATGCGCCGTCGCAGGAGGTGGGGCAAGCCCTCTGCTCCCCACTCAGGCCCTTTTTGGGTCTTCTTCCCTGGTCCCTGCCACCACCTCTCTTCCTTTTTTCTTTTTCTCTGTGGGTGACAAGCTCCCTTCAGAGCACCGACAGATCTGTCAGCTCCCGAGAATCTGCTACTGGTCTGCCTTGTTCTTCTGTTCAGGCATTGGAGAGTGAGAGGGAGGGCGGGAGGAGCACCTGGCCCAGCCTTCACCCAGGCAGCAGGCAGAGAAATGCATACACAGAAGTCCAGCTACCAGCTGAAAACAACCACGGGAAGGGGTAAGACCAGGCCCCATGGGGGTGAGGTTGGCTGACCCCGCACCAGGCGGCCACTCCGGCAACTGGAGCCGAAGGTGCTCTCCTGCTCTTTATCCCCCCCTGGTGGTTGGGGGATAGCAGTGTCTCAGCCTCCAGCGCCAGTAAGCACAGCTCCTGGAAGAGGGGGAAGCCAAGCGTCCTGCGACAGCCAGCCCCAGGTCACAGGCATGATACAATCAGAGGGCTGGAGGGGATCCAGAGAGATCCACGATCTAAGCGACTCCTATCACCTTACAGATGAGAAAACTGAAACCCAGAGAGGGGAAAGGCCTTGCAGGGTCCCAAAGCCAGTGGGTGAAGCCCGAACACCACTCCATCCCATCTCAGCCAATGAGGGTCGTGTGCTCCCTGAGCAAGAGCAGGAAGCAACACAATGGAAGGAAGAGTCAAGCAGAAGATTACCCCTTCCACGAGGCAGGCTTCTTCCAGCCACGGAGAGGACAGGAGAAAGCTCAGGGTGTCAGAGCTGGACACCACAGGTACACACATGCACGTGTGCACACATCTGCACACACATCCGTGAAACCTGGGTGCCCTTCTCTGGAGTCCAGGCTGGAGCCATAGGAGTGTGAGTGTGCGTGTGTGTTACGCGTGTACCATCTCCCTTTCTACTCTGTTCTTTCCTCCTTTCTTCCCGATGCTGGAGGCTCTACATTATCACCCAAAGGCTGTCAATTGTTTCTCGGTGGCGCGCTGGGCTCTGAGTCTGTCCTCAACAGGCAGCCTGGCGGCCCCAAGGCAGCCAGTTTGTGCTGGAGAAAGCGTCAGGTGATTTGAAGACAGAGACCTGGGTGGGGGTCGAACCGTGCCACTTTCGCTCACCAGCGAGGCAATCTGGGTAAGTTCTTTGTCTTCTCAGCCTCAAACTTCCTCAGTGGCAAAAATGGGAGTAATTTAACCTGCTCTGACTAGTACACAGTACTATTGGTAAACAAGATATGATGTTTGAAGACACCTTCTTTACATGTCTTCTATATAGATGTTTGCTGACCTGTCTGCTCTCTGCCCCCCCTCCCCCTTGAGCTGGAGAGCTCTCCTGATGCCTTCCTATTCAAGACATGAGACTTGCTTTCACCAGTGGTTCTTGTTGTGTACCTCGTTGCCCAGCCTGCCATCACCTGCCCCAGGCACCTAGTTAAGAGCCAAGCTTACCTTTTACCAGTGTGTGCTTATCCGTGGGGGATGATCGCGCCAGGACTCGAAGCTTCGGCCAGATCTTGTCCAGCTTCTCTTGCTCTACCTGCCAACATCAGACCACACCGCGTCAGTCAAGCTCACAGCAGCCATCCAGGAGAAGTTCACATCTCCCCACGCTCTGAGATTCCAGGAGAGTTGGCATTCCACAGCCCATGGCGGGTGTACCATCCTGGCCTCCGGGGGAGATGAGACAGCCGGCTCGGTCTCCCAGGGCAGACTCACTGATGGTGACCATTCAGGTCCTGCATGTCTTCATTTCCCTTCCAATTCCCTACTGGGGAGCCAGTCCCCTATTTCTTGGACCCTTGACAGGAGGTTGGCCAGAGCTGGCTGTTGGTTCAGGTGGCCAAAGTGCTTCTGAGGTCTTTGGTTTGGTTTCTAGGCAGACCAGGAAGCTCTGGTCTGCTCCACACCCAGACCACATCCTCTCGCAGACCCATGCCACCCACTGCTAGTCACAAGGCGGTGACACAGGACGGCGAGGTGGAGGGGAATCAGTACGAAAGCATCCTATGACTGAACACAATCGGGAAAAAGTGAAAAGTTAGTGACGCTGTCTCAAAAGAGAGCTTATGAAGGAAGATAATGAGAAGAAAGAAAACTCCCAGTTTTCCCACCTGAGCAGCCCTGGTAGAAGGAAAGTTCTCTCTGAATAGATTTTAGTTTAAAAACCACCCACTCACTGGTGGTCTAACTCCTCACAGCTCCGCCTACTAGCTACATGGGATTCTGCTCAAGTCATGAAGCCATTTAATAAATGCAATTAGATCTTAAACAAACAAACAAGAATGACAAAACCCAGTGGCTTTCTCCCGTGTCCCAGATGTGTGTCCCAGGTGGGTTACAACGAGAGCCCCACCACCCCCCACCCCGTCCCCCAACCAGGTGCCAAATGAGGCCCTGGGTTTTCCCAGCCGGGACCCACCTCTCCCTTCTCATTGCGGATGAGTCGGTTGAATTCCTTTCCTTCTAAGCACAAGAAGTCATCCCCAGGTGTCACAATGCCACATTTGGTGGCGATGGCCCGGGCTGTGTTGATGTTGTCACCTGTCACCATTCTGACAGTAATGCCAGCTCGCTTACATTTGGCAATAGCTTCGGGTACCTGTGGAGAGTAAGGCAAGGGGAGAGCAGGAGGTGGGAGTGGTGACGCCTGCCCCTGTCGGGGGTCCCTTCACTGTGGACAGGAGAGAGGGACCCCGGGAGCAGTGCCACAAGGCACGGGCCACGTCTGGTCATTGCTATATTGTTTGGTGCCACCTCACTCCTGTCCCTACCCAGAATACTACACTTGACCTTGCCTTCCTGTACCAGGAACTGAAGAGAAAATCTGTTTCAGGAGACAGGCATGAAAGTGGACTCTCCCTACAATCTAGACTCCTTGGCAGGGAGTCTATCTCCTCTTTTGGGATTTGGCCATTGCCTTCCTTTCTGGCAGAAGTTTTCACCATTCTCCACCTCCCTGGTGCATACTCCAACCTGTCAGTTCTTTGTAGTTTCCCATGCCCTTGGGCCTTGACCAACTCACAGTCCATCTGTCTGGACTTCTTATAAGCAGAGACTTTTTCAATGCCTTAGTGTTTAGAATATGGTTCAGCTATCCTAAGGGCGCTCAGCAAGAACGTCCTGACTGAGAGAAGGTGGCTGGAGGCAAAGCTGGTGCCGCGGTTAACCCCGCCTCCTGACTGCTCTTAGGAACCGGATCACAAGCTCGGTAAAACCCACGCCTCTCACCCCTCGGATGGCATTCACCATGAGAATGCCAGCTTCTACCAGCTCAGCACTCTACAGTTTGGGGAAGCAGGAGGCACAGAAAAACACCTATCCGGGTAAGTGAGAAGCTGTTGGGTAACTTGCCTGGGGTCACAGCTAGAAATTCAAGGAGTCCCCCAGTTCCCAGGACTCTCGGGTGGCTTCCCAGCACATCACGCTCGCCTCGCTCCGGGGCCACACGCTAGTGGAAGGCTTCCCATCATGTTTCCTTACCCTTCGGCCAAAGCCAAAGCCTCACCTCTGGGCGCACGGGGTCCTCAATGCCCACCACTGCGATACACGTGAGTTCAGTGAGGATTTCACTCTCATTGTCCCACGTGGGCTCTCCGTCGTTGAAATCCCGGTAAGCTATGCAGATGGTTCGGAGGCCCTCCGATGCCATGGGCTCGATGACAGTGCGGACCATCTCGTCTCGGTCCTTATTCTTGAATGGCATCACTTCCCCTTTCTTGTCCAGGATCCGGTTACACCTAGGGAAGCACGCAGTCAGGAAGTGGCTCCCCCTTCTCACCCAGTGTGTCTCTATGCTCACTTACAGATCTGCTATACTCGTACAGACACTGTCCCAAGGCCAGAAATCTCTACCCATCATCCAGCCGAGTCCCTTCATGCAAGGTGGGGTGGTCTGGAGGCGGATACGGTCTAGGTAAGCAGAGGGGGTGACTCTCCCATGTCGTCTATTCCTACTCATCTGTGAATGTGACGCCAAGGGTCATTTGTGGATGGATCACGTGCTCTTTGAACTTCTCAAAGAGGGAGACACATTTTTAATTCCTAGTACCAGCATAGTACTAGAATGGTACTCGGTGTGGAGGGCGGGCTCCACAGGAATGGGTTGATCGAAAGAAGGTGGTGGAGCCAAAGAGAGGCACCGGTTAATCCTGCTACTGGCCCTGGGCCCACACAGGTCAGCCTTTAATGATCCGTGAACGGTCTAGCTGTGTGATGAAGTTACACAACTTCCTGTAATCGGAATTGAACATGAGAAGGAAAAGGGCACGTACAACTAAGGTTTCTAGTACTTGCTATGTGCCTGGCGTTTTACGTACCGGCATACCTCATTTCACTGCACTTCACAGATACTGTTTTTGTTTTCTTTTTTTTTACGTACTGAAGGTTTGCGGCCACTGAGCAAATCTGTTGGCCCTAATTTTCTAATGGCATTTGCTCACTTCATGTCTCTGGGCCAGCTTTTGGTAAGTTTTGCAATATTTTAAACTTCTTGGTTATTATTATATTTGTTACGGTCACCTGTGATCAGTGACATTGGATGCTTCTATTGTCACTGGGGACATCAAGAGTCACATGCATAGAAGGTCGCAAACTTAACTGATCATGTGTGTGTTCTCACTGCTCCGCTGCCCTGCTCTTTCCCCTTCTCTCTTCCTCTCCCCAGGGCCTCCTTCTCCCCAGAGAGACAACACTATTGAAAGTAAGCCACGGTACCCCTACGATGGCCTCGAAGTGCTCAAGTGACAGGAAGAGTCGCCCGTGTCTCACTGTAAATCAAAAGCTATGATTGAGCTTGGGGAGGCAGGTCGAAAGCCGAGAGAGACTGAAAGCTAGGCTTCTGGCACCCAACAGCCCAGCCGGGAAGGCAAAGGCAAAGCTCTAGAAGGAAACGAAAAGCGTTGCTCCCATGACACCAAAAGGGCCTTATTGCTGATCTGGAACAAGTCTGAGTGGTCTGGAGAGAAGACAAAACCAGCCACAACACTCCCTTCAGGCCAAAGCCTGATCCAAAGCAAGGCCCTGACTCTTCAATTTTATGATGGCTGAGAGAAATGAAGAAGCTGCAGAAGAAAAGCTTGAAGTAGCAGAGGCTGGGTCACGAGGTTTAAGGGAAGAAGCCGCCTCCATGATATAAAAGTGCGGGCCGAAGCAGCAAGTGCTGATGGAGAAGCCGCGGCAAGTGATCCAGAAGGTCTAGCTAAGATCATTCACGGAGGCGGCTACACTCAACAACAGATTGTCAATGTAGATGCAACAGCCTCATACTGGAAGGTGGCATCTAGAACCCTCACATCTGGAGAGAAGTCAGTGCTTGGCTTCAAAGCTCCACAGGACAGGCTGGCTTGCTTGTATGGGCTCATGTAGCTGGTGACTTTAAACGGAAACCAGTGGCTCATTTACTATCCTGAAAATCCCAGGGTCCCTTTAGAATGATGCTGAATCTACTCCATCTGTGCTCTATAAATGGAACGACAAAGTGTGGATGACAGCACATCTGTTTATAACTTGGTTTACGGAGTATTGAAAGCCCACCATGGAGAGCTACAGCTCAGAAAAAGATTCCTTTCAAAATATGACTGCTCACTGACCAGGTACCTGGTCACCCAAGAGCTCTGATGGAGATGCCCAATGAGACTAATGCTGCTTCCCTGCCTGGTAACACGATGTCCGGTCTGCAGCCCGTGCATTAAGGAGTCATTTCAATTTTTAAGACTTATTTTTTAAGAAATACATTTTGTAAGGCTCTAGCTTCCAGAGAGATTCCTCCGACGGATCTGGGCAAAGTAAATGGAAAACCTTCTGGAAAGGACTCACCAGCCTAAAGAACATTCACGATTTAGGCCAAAATATCAACAGTAACAGCAGTTTGGAAGAAGCTGATTCCAACCCTCATGGATGACTTTGACCCTCATGGTTCAAGAGCTCAGGGGACACACTAAGTGTAGATGTGGTTGGAAACAGTGAGAGAGCGAGAATTAGCGGTGGAGCTTGAAGATGGGACCGCATGGCTGCAATCTCATGGTCAAACTTGAACAGATGAGGTGTTGCTTCTTGTAGATGGAAAAAGAAAATGGTTTCTTGGGATGGAATCTACTCTTGACGAAGATGCTGTGAAGACCTTTGTAACGACAAGAGAGGATTTAGAATTGTGCGTAAAGAAGCAGCAGGATTTGAGGGGAAAGGACTCCAAATGGGAAAGAACTTTTACTGTTTGACAATAGTTTTACTATCAAATAGCATCTCATGCTACAGAGAAATCACTCACGGAAAGAGTCAATCAACGCAGCACACGTCATTGTCTTATTTTAAGAAAGTGCCACAGTCTCCCAGTCCTTCAACACCCAGTGCCCTGATCAGCCAGCAGCCAGCAACACCCTCCACCAGCCAAAAGATGATGATCGCTGATGATGGTGAGCATTTTTTAGCAATAAAGTATTTCTAAAGTAAGGTAGGTACTTGTTTTTTTATACAAGAGGCTATTGCACCCTTAATAGACTACAGTCTGTTATAACTACGTATGGTTACGGTCTAGTGGAACTATGAGTTTTGTATGCTGGGAAGCCAAAAAGACTCATTCACCTCGCTTCATCGTGGCAGTCTAGAACTGAACTCATGCGCCACGTCCAAGGCGCACATCGAACCATCTAATCACAGTAACCCTGTGGGTGTTCCTCGGGTTTCGCATGAGCAGATGAAAGCTTGGATTATCGAGGTCTGAATCCTGGCTGCCCCTACTAGCTCTACCCCCCGAGCAAGTTACTTCGCTTCCTGTACCTCTGCTTTCTCATCTATAAAACAGGAACGATAATAGCACCTACTGCTCTGGGTTGTAAAGATTACGCAGAAGGGGCCACCTGAGGCACTTGGAAACAAGCCTCGGCCTGAGTAAGCGCTCAGCTATTCGTGATGGTATCACAATGGTCCAATGGCTCATGGACCATTCAGGTGGGCTCAGCATGGCACATGTCCCCTAGACCTTCTGGCAGGGAGGATCTGGAAGGGAAGAAGAAGCAGGGGCGGGGGGCTCACTTGCGCAAGATGATCTCAGAGGCACCCTTGCTGTACATGCGGTAGCCCCCGCTGGGCTTCTCAATGACCGTGCTCATGGACTTGCGCACAGAGTTGAAGGTGTACACCTTGTAGAGCTTCTCCTCAGGCACCTCGTTGCGCACCGCGTGGTAATCCTGCTTCAGGTCGGTGACAAAGCCCAGTAGGGCACACTCGGTCTTGTTGCCCACCTGCCGCGGGAGACCTCCCTCCTTCTCCGGAGGCTGAGAGAGAAATTGGATATGCTGTTGATAACATGCCCCGACTACGGAGAGAGCTCAGGAAGGAGAGAACTCCCTGAAGAAATGCTCACGTATGTACCTGGAACCCATGCAGGGAGACAGCATCTGACTTTTTTCCAAGGGTAGGCAGACAGCAGTCAGTGGTGACTGTGGTCTCCAAGCCATCCCAGGCTTAGTGAACTTCTAGTCTGCCTTGGGGCTGGTGCTGACATCTCACCCTGTGTGGGTCTCATTTGAACACCCTCTCTCAGTTTCCAGAAAGTATGTAATTTACCCCTGATACGCCCATCTCTCCTAGAGATACTGACATGATATGGTGACTGGTGGGCCTCTCAGAGACCTGGATTTCTACCTGCCTCCGGCCCCCAACTCTACTCCCATGGATCCATCCCTGGT